AGAAGGTCCATTTTCTAAAGTTACTGTTAGGCAGGCAGCTGGAGGAGCACCAGAGCTTAGTGAACCATTGTAGTTACCAAGCAAGCAAGTTCCTTTATTCCCAGGAGCTATGTGCTTAAGATTAAGGTCAAAGCTGATAAGCCTCTACCATAGCAAAACTAAACATCCTATGCCTTTGCACAGAAACTTTCCCAGGCACAAAGCATGCCATAGCTATGAAGTCATCAGGGACCCCAATCCCAAACACAGAACCCCTACAGGAGTAGAAGGTTTGGCAGTCAGTATAGGTATTGAATGACAGGGAGTGAGAAATTGAGGACTGGTTATCAAAGAAATGACAGTGAGTTGCTAACAGATAACCTTCAGGATCACACTTCCCAGCACAAGGAGTTGCTGACAATTACCCCTGTGCTGCTCCTTCCTGCCCTTTGTACAGACATGGGAGAAGAAAGAGAAGGTGGGGGATTCTGAGTCTATAACAGAGAAACACCGACCCCTAAGGACACCCACCTAAGGGGATGCAGTGAAAATCAAAATAAATGAGTCTTTGTTTTCATTTAAAAATGTTTATTGATTGACACATATCTAAGAAAAATTAAGCTAGTTGAATAAAATAGATAAGTTTTGGGAGGGAATTATTTAGGGTAGGAAAAGACTATTTTAAGTAAAATAAAATTTAAGCTGAAATTTGAAGGATTACCTGGAAAAGGCATCTCAGGGAAAGGAAATATGATATTAAAAGACCCTTAGAGTTAGTTGTTTTTCTGTCTGGTAGAACAGGGGTCCACTCATCAAGAGAGAGAGTAGTGGGTCAGATGGTTTAGATTAACCAGAGGTTTATCATGCAGAAGTTGCCTTAGGACACAAAATACTGAGTTAGACTATGTCCCTGAAGGGTTTGAAGCTGAACAGGGACACATATGATTTAAGATTTAAAATATCACTCTAGTTGAGGACTATGGAAAGGATAGGGCTACTGTGGATGTCCACTTGAAAATTGGCAGTGGATGGAAAACATACTTCTGAAGAGAATCCAAAAGGATGTGATGCTTATGGGCATGCAGTAGAAAAATTGAAGGAATGAATGGAAATGAAGGGTGTGATGGAGTATTGATATTCGCTACTGAGTAAAAAGTACTATCATTTGGTGTGAAAATTTTAAAAAATGGAAATGTTGATGACCTGAATACTACACAGCAGAAAATCTAGAAATCATATTTTTGTTTCTATTATTGAATAAGCTTAACTCTCCAACAACTTAAGTATAATCCTTTCTTTACTGCTTATCATTACCAAGATATCAAAAATAATAAAGTATTAATGAAGATGTTGATAACTGGTAAGCATTTCATTGCTGGTGGGAACATAAAATAGTGCCACTGTGTAAACATTATGGAGGTTCCTCACATGTCTAAAAACACAATTACCATGTGATCCAGCGATCCTATCTGATCACTAATTTGAAAAACTGAAATCAGGATGCCATAGGTATTATTTGCACTCTCATATTCATTATAGCATTTTTCACAATAGTCAAGATATGACATTAAGCAAAATGTCCCCTGGTGAATGGATGAATAAGGAAATATGGTATATAATTAAAATAAAATACAATTCAGCTTTAAAAAAGAAGCAAATCTTGCCATGTGAAATAGTATGGATGAATTATAACAGTCTTATGCTTAGGGAAATAAGCAACTAGAGAAAAACAAATACCACACAGTTTCACTTAGGTGAGATATCTGAAATGGTCATACCCTGGACTCACATAAAGTCATTTGCCCAAAGGGTCCTTTACTGTCTCTCTCCTGATCCCTACCCTGCATAGACAAAGCAGTCATCAGCTTTTTACTAAGTTTTGGATGAGACTGGAAACTTGACCATAACTATGCTACTTCTCATGGCCATTGTTATAATAAAAATTGAAATATAACTGAACATTGACAATATTCTACTATTAAATTATGAAATATATATATGAATAGGCCTTAACAGTTCCAGAGAAATAAGTAAATTTTCTTAGCTGACTTAGACTTTCATGGAAACTATTAACATTTAAAGATAAACCTCGGTAAACCACCATCTTAGCCTTATGGAGAAAGTCTTTAATAAAAGTAGAGAAAATATTCCAGGACAAGGTATGTATGCCTTGCATTATATGCACAGAGCCCAGGAATTGGTCTTTGATATAGTCCCATTCAGAAATATCTCTGAAAGTTAACAGTGAAACAAAATCATTCCAACTGGCAGACTATGAAGCACCACATCTGGATAATGTTTGGGGTCCAGTGGGGAGAGCAACAATGGCTTGTTTGTATTACAAATATATACAGTCAGGGCAGTGACTCATGGGTTGACTAGTTGAGCAAAGACTTGATATAAAGTGGAAGATTAATGATAAGAAAATCTAACATAGAATTATGTCAATACACCTCTTAGATTTGGCATAGGTAACTAGGATGTTCACATTCCATGCCACTTCCCACCAAAAGGCGTGAAATCCAGAAAACTGAATCAATAACAAGGTGGATTTATGACCTGTCCAATGGCTGTCAATTTCTTTTTCCTGACCTTTCAGAATTTGGTATAAAACTCATGTACAAATGAACAGTGGTAAACATTGATGTGGCTATGTCCCTGTAGTATGCTGTTTTTAAGTCCTTTGAGAGGGATAGCTGGATCAAATGGTGGTTCCATTCCTAGTTTTCCAAGAAATCTCCAAACTGCTTTCCATATTGGCTGCACCAATTTGCAGTCCCATCAGCAATGTGTGAGTGTGACTTTTCTCCACATCCTCTCCAACACTTATTGTTGTTTGTATGTATAATATCTGCTATTCTGACTGGAGTGAGATGAAGTCTTAAAGTGGTTTTAGTTTGCATTTCTCTAATTTCTAGTGATGATCAATTTTTCATGTATTTGTTGATTGATTGTTCATCATCTACTGAGAAGTGTCTCTTCAGGTCCTTGGCCCGTTTATTGATTGGGTTATTTGTTTTTTTGGTGTTTAGCTTTTTGAGTTCTTTATATACCCTAGTGATAAGTGCTCTATCTGATGTGTGAAGTGTAAAGATTTGCTCCCAAGATGTAGGCTCTCTATTCACCTCCCAGATTGTTTCTTTTGCTGAGAAGAAACTTTTTAGTTTGAGTCCATCCCACTTATTGATTCTTGATTTTAATTCTTGTGCCACATGTGTTTTATTAAGGAAATTGGAGCCTAATCCCACATGATGAAGATTAGGGCCTACTTACAATTCACAATAGCTAAACAGTGGAACCAATCTAGATGCCCTTTAATAGATGAATGGATAAAAAAAATGTGGCATATATACACAATGGAATATTACTCAGCAATAAAAGAAAATAAAATCATGGCATTTGCAGGTAAATGGATAGAGTTACACAACATAATGCTACATGAAGTTAGCCAATCCCCAAAAAAACAAATGCCAAATGTTTCTTTGATATAAGGAGGCTGATTCATAGTGTGATAGGGAGCGGGAGCATGGGAGGAATAGAGGAACTCTAGATAGGGCAGAGGGGTTGGAGGGGAAGGGATGGGGTATGGGGTTATTAATGATGGTGGAATGTGATGATCATTGGCATCCAAAGTACATGTATGAAGACACAAATTGGTGTGAATATACTATGTATACAACCACATGAAAAAATGTGCTCTTTATATTAATAAGAATTATAATGCATTCTGCTGTCATATATAAATTTTAAAAATTACATTAAAAAAAGGAACAGTGGTGACTGGGATGGGGACTATACAGTAATGTCCAGCATGAATTTTCTCACTAAGGTCATCTGGCTACTGAAGCCGCCACATACTTTATCTGTTAATAGCAATTATCTCCCCATGGTTTCCTAAGAAGTCACTACTCCCTAGAGTTCTAACTAGCCACAAGTAATAGATTGTCCTGGTCACCTTTTAAATTAGAGGATGCATCAGAAGTACTTATAATTTACAAATAATGGATTTCTCTCCCTCAATGTAGCATTGCTGCCATGAAATTCTGTGGACATGAAGTTTTAGTGAAAATCATGGTGATAATCTTAATGCTGAACATGACCAGGTAATGTAGTAATAGGAAAGGAAATTCAACAAAGTCCAATGTCTGCAAAATTTGCAGATTTTTATCAAGATCTCATTACTTAATGACAATTGTTTGAGATTTTATTTAGGAGACCATACCTTAGTTATTTGAAATGATAAATTGAAGGATATTGTGTATGTTTTAAATCATAGCTGATATTGATGTCTTTTTTATTTTACTGTGAATACATGGGTCCAGAAGTCAAGAAGTTAATAATGAGAATGGGGCCTCTAAGAAGTAGTCTTTACTTTTTCTCTTAGAAAATTTTGTTTTTCACTTTTATAATCTGGAGCTAGAAAGTTAGGGGTGTAATTTTAAGGAAAAAATAAATGACCCAACCCAGGATTTTGGCCATAATTTACTTAGAGTGGAAAATATGAGTGTTCTGTTATTATTTTGAGTTTCCCTTTTCCAAATAGGAAAGACATTGCTGTCTTGTGTATTTGGTGACTGATCCAACTATGTTGCAGAAACACATTGGGACCAGGCAAAATTATGTCTAGTATAAAGCACATTACTTGGATACAACTTAATTATCTGATGTTCAGTAGTAAAATACAGTAGAAAGTGTGAGAGACGTCAAGAAGCATGTTATCATATTGATTTGGAATTGATGAATTTTGCTTAATCCTGCCAGTTAACCTTGAGTACTGGAGAAGCTGCCAGAGGATACTCTTATCATATATATGAAATGTATGTGAACAGAATAAATTACCAACTTCAGCCTCTTCTGAATCTCCAAGTGCTATGGAACTTCCCTGGAGGAATTCTAACTGCAGAAAATAACCTGATCATGGAGCCAACATAAAAAACTCTTCTCAAAATACAGTAAAGTTGTAAAACTCAAAACACATCAATGTGAATCACCTTTTTAAAAAATTGTTAAAATTCATCAAATACATTTTCAGCCTTCACAAACAATTTATTTGCATTTTCTGTAATGCATATATTCACAAAGACATACATTGCCACATAGTTATTTTTTTTAAATGGAGTAGTTTTCAATAAACTACATTAAAACAAATAAGACTAAGCCAATGAATGTCACTTATATCAATTATATATCAAATACTGAAATTAAAAGAATTATACATGCCATTAAGTTTATAAATGTTATTAATTCAAAGATGATTCAAATAGTATTATTTGCCTTAAATAATGAATATTTATTTTAACATGTTCTTATTCAAGCTGGTAGACTCATGTATCTTTAGCATAAGAATTAATAGGTGAATTTAAACTTATAGAAACTGGAAACAGCAATCTTAAATTCTTAGTAAATATTTTTTGGCAGAAAATTAAACTTGATTATAAATAGTGATCATAAATTATGAATATTAGTGATTTAAAATATATGGATTAGCACTTATTAATAGTACCATTACTTAAAAATTTTATAAAATTACTAATTTTGTTCTTTTTCTAATTATATTCTCTAAAAATGATCATTTCATCTTTAACATATTACTGACTCTGAAAAAAATAATTCATGTCTTCCCTTTATGGAGACAGTATCCAAATCCCTACAGCAGAGGGCAAACAAGAATATTTGTTGAAGAAAAGCAGGAAAAAGACCATGATTATCTAAATGTGTTCAGTGAAAATGTTGTAGACCCACCATGATATACTGTCACAGTTATAAATTCATGCTGTAATCGCTGTAACAATGGAGAAGCAGAGGAGTGTTTTATTTTCCTTAATTTAAAAATAAAATTGTTAACTAATTTCCTGTGGTGGTTATTGATTTGTGTGGTCTTTGGGGACTTGTGAATTTGACTCCTGATTTCCTTACATCCATCAAATTCCATTTAAACTTTGTGTTTTCCCTAGGATTTGGTATATTTTTAGTCAGTGCATAAATTGATTTTTAAAAATTTAAAATTACATTATGAAAAGAACATATTTAGACTTTGTAGTGCCCCTGTGTCAGGAAAGTGAGAGGAAGAAAGGAAGAATTAACTATTCTTAATGGGACATACTCACTAGTTAATGGTCATGTTGAGACCTAGGCTTTTCTCTAGACTAAGTCAGAAGAATGGGATTTTTGTTTTTCTTTTTTGTGGCACTGGGAATTGAACCCAGTGCATGCTAGGCAAGCACTCTACCAACTGAGCTATACCCCCAGCCCAGAAGGGGATATCTGAAAACAGAAAGCAGAGATGGATTTTCAGTAAGCTTTTTGTGTCTAGAATCAATAGGATTTCACAATTGTGGACTTTGCCAAACTTAGAAAGGTCTGTTTCCTCTTTTCTTGACCTATTCCCTTTTTTTCTTCTTTCCTGTCTTTCCAATTTTTTTACAAGAAAACAAACAACATTTTGTGACCATGAATATAACAGTTGTCACACAGGCCAGCAAGAATCCAATCACATCTAAAGAGTGGTACTGGAACCAGGTGAGGTCATGGGAGGCTGGCCGTAGGTGCTTGGCTCCTTTGTGGCGCATGACAAACTCGATCCAGAAGACAGCTCGGTCCAGGGGCTTTACAGGCTGATCATGATGAATTCTTGATAACCTCATGGCATTTTCTTTATAACTAAAAGGCAAATACATAAAAGTTAGTTTTTATTTTTGTTTTTTACTAAAGGTAAGATCAATATTATACAAGTTAAAACCCACAGATATGTTGAGAAAAAGTTTATCTTGCATGAACTTAGCCAGTTGACCAGGATTTTAAGTCATAAAAGTGTATATGTGGAAGAGATATATTCTTAACACAACATAGTTGTTAGATATAGAAATGTACATGTAGAAAGAAATAAAATATTCAGTTGTAAATAGATAGCCTAATTTTTCAATGAAAAAAAAAAGATATTATGTGAGCTATAGTGTTCAGAACTGTTTTAAGATGAAGATGAGAATAACCCAATATTATTAGATAATATTATTTAAAACATCAATATGCATGGCCACTAACATCTGAACAGATCAAATGACAAACACGGGGAGTTAGTCATCAACTTTGATGACTCATTTTACAGTGTTGAGATCATTGCAGTGTGGTAATTATTCCTTTGCACACATTTGCATATTTGTGGTGAAAATGACAATGTCTTTCTTGACAATGTCAGGACTGAATGAAAACACTGAGAATTGGCAAATCCAAGTGCATGGAGTTCTTGAAAGAAATAAAACTCTCCCTAGAATTAGAGCCCCCCTAATCAACATGGCACCACAATAGCAAGAATTATTGTTAATAGCTCTAATTGTTTCTCAAACAACACTGGGTAAAAGTCTATGTATTTAAAAGGTAAGATATGTCTTCATTCTGGTAGTTTAGCCAGACTAGTAGGTTCCAGGTTGGTTTGTGCTAGCAGGACATTGTTAGGATTGGGGAAAGGGAATGTGGTCATCATTCACAGGTGAATATGACCTAGAGACAGCAGCATGAGATTATCAACATGCATTCTTTGTGTATAGTGAAGAAGAGCCATCCTGCCATTCACCTGTAAGGTCAAGATAGTAATCACACACACATGGTCATTCTATTGCACTTTAGACAAAAGTGTAGTTGCTGTAAAAACTTTTTTCTGCAAATCAGATTTTTGTTAAGATTTTCACTTTTTATAGATAAAGATTTAAAATTTTGAATATAAATAAATTTTATAGATAAATGTATACATACGAATACAGGTAAACTGTTTAATGAATAAGAATAATCAAGGATCATGTTCATAAATGTATTATTTCATATTTTTATGAACTGTTTTATGACAATGATAAAATATTTTGAATAATTAAAATTACTATGATTTATATATTACTATGTAATCTTTTGTGCTTCTTAATTGCTTTTGGGAATAAGATAATGGAATACATGTAAATACATCTATATTCTCTACACTATACCACCCTGTGTTTTCAGAAAATCTCAGAGGCAGTATTAGGTTGAGGATTAGTGTGAATATATTTTAATTAGACAACTTTTAGTATTTACTTGGAAATTTCTGAGTATCTATGATTCTGTTTTCATGAATCAATCATTATAAAATTAAATTAAAATTTAATAGACATTCTATACATTAGAGGTAAAAAGAATTACAAAATCTACCAGCTTTCATGTTTAATAAAATGAACTAAATTATCAGTGATTAACATCCTGGTAAGAAAGAAATTGATTGAACTTCAAGAACAACATTTATAGGGAAAAAAAAAATCATACTAAGAATTATTGAAGTTCCTAACCTCTAGCTACCTCATAAATTATGATGTCTAAAAGATCCTAAAGCTATTAATGATTCAGAAATAGCTATTAGCAGTGTTTAACAACACTGTTTGACAGTATTAGTAATTATTTTTGAATGTTTAATATTGGGACCATTATCACTTTCATTTTGCACTTAATAAATGGTCTATAATATTTAAATATTTTTATTCATGAAATTAAACAGATTATCCAGAAAAACAATGTAAGTGCTTCTATTATAATTGTGTTTATTTTGAAAAAATGTTAGTAGATTATTTGAAACCAGGTTTTTGTTGTCGTTGTTGCTGCTGTTGTATTTTCATGTCAGGAAATCATTTTCACAGTTGGGAATGAAATAAAGGGTTTTACATTTGTCAAGCTATATTATTTGACAATAAACCCATTATGAAGGTTGAGGCAGTGGTACTTTTCTAGGATTACCAATAACATAATCAATGGCAGATAAGTCTTTAAAAGAAGCAGTACTCACGAAGGGTCATTAATGACTGTTCTCAAAGCACTGAGCAAATCCGCACTTGTCATTGTGTTGAAGTTCACCTCCACAGCTGCTCCTTTGGCCTTCATGTGAGCAATGTTATCAGGTTGATCAGCAAACATGGGGATTCCCACCATAGGGATCCCATGATAAATAGCTTCATAGATCCCATTAGTTCCACCATGAGTGATAAAAGCTTTGGTTTTAGGATGACCTAGTTTGGGGATGGAGGGAGAAGTGGGTATGGATTTCAAGCTAACACATTAGCAAAGTTTCAGAGATGGAAGCAATAAAAAGCTATAGTATATAAGTCACTGACGAAGGCAACATTTTTTTTTTTAACAAAAGCTAATCTCATAAGACAATGCTACCCTAAAAAACTGTGATCCCAGAAAGAGAATACATTTTTTCATTGTCTGGGAAGGCATTACTAAGGTGGTGTTATCTGAGCTGGGATTGAAATTTGAAATATGATGAGTCTTAACTGAGAATTAGGGGAAGCATGAATTTATGAATTTAATGGCCAATTGTTTAATTACAGCTGCTTTAAAAATGGAATCAAATATGAAAATGTTTAGTTATTAAATATTTTTAAAGTGCACTTGTTGTTATTCAATAGCAAGATTATGTGACAACAAACTTACAAAGTAGTGACTTGACTTTTCTCTTATCCAATGATACAACTTTTCTTCCCCCACAGTCTTACCAAGAAGGTCATTCTGAGGTAGCCAATCAAAAATTCGAGTATTGGCTCCTAATGTGGCTGGTTTCTTTCCTTGGTATCTCCATAAGACCTGTGGAAGACAATGCTATCATGTTTCAACTACACACAATGAGAGTGTGTTCAGTCTGTAGACTTATTTAGGAATCACATACCTCCATACTACCAGTGATAGCTGATTGAGGGGTACATAGAAGGAGTTTGCAGCTTGCAAATATTGAGGTACATACTGGGACTGCTCATGTATATCTTTAAAGACTTGTATTCAGATTCTATTAAGTATAGTATATTTTGAGGATTATTACTTAAAAATTGTTGGAAGTGATTCTTTAGAGAAATAGAATATAAATAGGACTAGTCTAATAAATCAGAATATGGAGGTTAAAAACATTGAGAGAAACACAAATTCTGTGTAAACTATTTCATCCTACATGGTATGTTTCAAGTGTAATTTTTTTTCAAAAATGTAATTAGCTTTAGATTTTTGGTTTTTTTCTCTTTTCTTTTATTCTTCTTATTTATTTGTTTATTTATTTATTTATTTTGGTGACAGTATTTTCTTCTCCATCTTCCTTCTCCTCTCCCTCCTTCCTCCTCTCCTTTCTCCCCTCCCTTCTTCCCTTTCTCCCCAGCACTCTCTCTAATTTCTTTTTTTTTTTTGAGGAAGGATTAGATAACAATTTATATTCTACTTTTCAATAAAGTATTTTATTAGGATATTAACTATTTTTGTACGTATTTGTCTTTTGCTAGAAAGGCAAATTTTCAGAGGTACTAGAGGTTGAACCCAGGGTCACTGGACCACTGAGCCACATCCCCAACCCTATTTTGTATTTTACTTAGAGACATGGTCTCATCCAGTTGCTTAGTCCCTCCCTAAATTGCTGAGGCTGGCTTTGAACTAGCAATCCTTCTGCCTCCTCCTCCCCAGTCTCTGGGATTATAGGAATGCACCACCACACCCTCCAGAAAAGGCAAAATTGACCCCAGACAAGTATAGAAATGGAAACTAGAAGTTCTATTATGCCAAATTAGCATAGTTACCTTTGTACTTTTCTACATAGTTTAACTAATATATAAATATAAAAAGTACCAGAATACTTCATGAATAGGATTATATAGAAAATATAAATATAAACTTAGAAATATAAACTTAGAATGATATAAATATAAACATATAATGATAAAAATCAAGGTTAATTGAATAACAAATTAAAAATGAATATTGTTTGAAAATAATGTTACAATTTTAATTGCTTTTATCCAGTTTGGAAAAAATAAGTGAATCTAATCTTTTACTTCTAAAGCAATTACACTTTGGTAGAGTTTTTAAAAAACTCAGAAATTCAGAATACACTTTTTAGCATGATTTTTCTGTACTATGTATATAGTTGTCTCTTTTCCTGGACTGTCACAAGCCAGCCATGGGTTGTGTGTGTGAGCTATGCCACACTGGAGTACATGAAGGGACTGGACTGACATTGCTGCTCTGACTGCCGATATATGTCCTTCTCACTTACTCTGCCTATGATCCCCACACAGCACTTGAGATGGATGTGGCCTTCCAAGATGTCAGCCAATCTGCTGACCACAAGACATCACCAAGCTATCCCTGAAACCTAATCCCTTGCCTTATTTGGGTGGAACTTTCTCAACTGTCTTCCCCCCCAATAAATAGGGTTTCAGGCCTGCTCTCTGTCTCTCTTTTGCCTGCCTCTGTTGTCTCCTTAGTGGGAGGTGAGGTCAAGAAGGTATCACTGAACCACAAAAATAAAAGGTATTTTCTGTCTTCAGAAAATTTTCTGTCTACAGAAAATTCTGTACTTCAGAACTGGGAGTAGTCGATGGAAGCCAAAATGTTACAAAAGTCCTAATATTTAAACCTCTATTCTGTTAAAATTAAGTAATCACAAAAGTGAGTTCTGATAGTAATGCCAAGGTTCTGTTAGGCAAATGGTCAAATGTGCCTAAGTTCAACATTTTAATATTATACAAATTTTTACCTAAAGCTGGTGTCAGTTATGCTCAGTGTTAATGAGTTTCAACATCCATCTGCAAAGAGTGTGATTAACTATACCGTCTGTCCTGTTACTAAGAAGTTACTGACAAGAGTGGCAGGTCATACTGACCTTTTGTGGAATCTGGGCAAGGGCCGAGGCAATGAGATTGGCCTTTTCTTCTGTGAGGTTTTTGACCATTGACCCCAGAGAAAATGCAACAACACCATCTTCCCCTGAGCTCTGGACAAAGTCTTCCATTTCCTGTGGACATACATTTTTTTTTCTTTTTAAAAGTGCAGCATCATAAAGAAAAAAATGTTCACCTATACTTCTAAGTAGAAAAAGTAAAAACTAATGTCAGAGAAATTGTTAAGCTGATTCTATCTTTTGACATATAACTATCTAGTCTCTTTAAAAGGAAGTATATCCCTGAAACTATGGCTAATATGTGTTGTAAGTAATTGCAAGTACAAATATGAATCAAATCACTATAGAGAAAAATAGCCAATGATGGCAGCTCTTCTCATGGTTAGTGCAATTGTTATTCTCAAGGTATCATTTTACCAACCAACAGAATTATCTACAAACTGATAAAAATATTTCATGCCAGGAAGCCCAAGAAAGGATCCATATCTAGGCTTTTATATTGTCAATATGCCTGTTATATCCAAAATGTACCTTTCTATGAGACAAACATTCAAGATAATTTCTTCACAAGGATTCACTTTTCTGATTAATAGGGCTAAGAATAAATTTGTTAAAAATGTTATATATATATATATATATATATATATATATATATATATATATATATATAAATATATATTTTGGAAGAAGATACCACAGTTTATCTTCTTATAAGAATAATGACTTTTATAAGATGGTGCATTTATTTAATTTGAGCCTTAGAGCAGTAGTGAAGTACAGATTTCTATATAAATAAAATCCCCTGAGTCATTGCTCAGTTTTGCAAATTGGGCACTGCAAAGTTGAGGACTGGGTCCTTTTACATAATAACCTATGTGAATGCCATCCTCTAAAGTCAATTTATGGCTAGTAAACCTATTAGAGGAGGGCATTTTGTTGAATTAAAGTGCACTGTTTTTCCAGCTTGCTTAATGTCAGGAGAGTGTTTCTGAGGTCCTAGTAACTGTTTTCTCTTAAACAGATGCTTACAAAGCAAATAAAGAAACAAACACACACAAACACACACACACACACACACACACCATGCTGATCTGTATTTTTGACTTAACTGTGTCTATTTTTTTATTCTATTTATTTAGTGTCTAGCATAATTTATTCATCAACTGTAAAAGTTAAGATTGGTAATCATACTGCTCAAAGTCTATATCAATAGGTAATCTGAGATTGGAATTGAATCCAAATTGGAATCTTCTTGTAAAGCATGTCGCAAGTTATTTTTGAGAAATTATACATGTGAAAGGGAGAAAAGGATATATAAAATAGTGTGGTAGGGGTATTATCTAGTGATCATGGACGAGTTGTATCTCTCTCTGTATATTTATTTAGTTATTGTTTTATTAACTCCTGTACTGACAGTACCTAGCATAACTTTTTTTTGCAGCCATAAACTTGACTGTTAAGCATATTCAGAATCTTAAAGCGAAATTTTAAGCTTACATATGCTTTACTTAAGTTAAACAGAAATCAAAACTCTACTGGGCGTTCCATTTGACCGGCAGCCTACTAACCAGATTTTCAAAGTTTTGTCTCTTCACTCACACCTATTAATAATTAACAATAATGTTCTTATCATGGTTATCTAATTTATTGTTGGTGTTGTTGTTTCTTAAAATTTATTTATGTCCAAAATTTATGGCATTCCACGTTTTATCTTTGAAAACTTTGGAATATGGCATACAATTTTATTTTTTTCTCAAAAAAACAAATACTGACATCATGCTTACAGAAAGCAATATTACATTTGAATTGGGGTGGGTTTCTACCCCATCCCATAACAACTGGCTTTATTTTGGTTTTTGGCCACATGAGGAAGGCCAACAGTCAGAGGGTAAATGTGCATCTCACCATGCAAATAAAAGAAAAAGTGACTGTACTTCCCTCTTTTCTCCCCACAGAACAATTACCAAGATTGTGAGCATGATTGGTGGGGTATCCCACTCATGGGGAGTGGCTCTCTTCTCTGGTACGATTTCACATTCACTGGCAGAGGCATATTTTATACTTAAATTACTGCAAAGACATTATGACATGAAATTTTCTCCTTTATCCATTCTTCTCAGGCACAATGTTTGAGAAAACTTGACTTCTTATGTTTTCTCAATGCTTCTTCACAATATCTTTCTTTAAGAGAATTCCATAAGGCCCCAGGCTGCCTCCCACGTCTTCCAGGGACAGGGCTGAGACCCTTTTGGGGAGCTGGGAGGAAACACTCGGGGCAGCCACTGCCCAGGAACTGAGGTTCTGCTGTCTCTCGCCTGCTTGCTGAGGTATTTGAGTGACCAAGTGCTGCCTCAGCACATGGACTGGCCCGCAGGACCAAGAAGGAGGGAGAGATGGGGGCAACTCTTCAGCTGGTTGTACCCAGTAACTCATGGAGTGAAGGCTTCGGCCCCTGACTGTCCAGCACTGTGTTGTCAGACAGTCCAGGAAGTGAGGGCCTTAGGCTGAGGCTGGTTTTGAATTTGTGATCTTCCTGACTCAGCCCCAAGAGCTGCTGGGATTACAGGCATCACCCAGCGAGTCTTTCAGTTTAATTATTATTTCCGTATGCTGACAACTGTCAATCTATTTTTCATGCTTTCTACCAATACTGAGACCTTGTGCTACCCCAAATGTTTCCAGAAATCACGTGATAATCCATTTTGATCAAAAACTAAACTCATCATCAACTCTGTGGAGTTTTTTTTTTTTTTTTTTTTTTTTTTTTTTTTTTTTTTTTTTTTTTTTTTTACCAGCTGTTTCCTATGATACTAAAGGTCACTACCAGGCAATAATCCCCCAGATTAAAATCTAAGAATGCTACCTTATTCCATGTCTTCCCTTAATACTAATTTCTTCTTATTCATCAAATTCTGTGCAATTCACAAAGAATTCTCACGAAGGTATTTTTCTCAATCAACTGCTTTGGAAAATGTCCCTGGTGATCAGGTTTCACATTAATATCTTAATGTCTCCTTAGTGATTCCATGGCTCTCCTTTCTGTCCTTTTGCTCAGTATCCACACTAAAGATACAGGTATTTTTAGTACACTACTCGAATTATTTTATTCTTCAGCTAAATTCTCAAGTAAAATCCAAAAGACCGAATATCACTCAAAAAAGACCCCTATGATGAAGAAAATGACCTGGGAATGGTAGACTGAAAATATTCAACAACATATCTTTGTTATTGGAGCTGTGAACTTTAAAGGAAAATGGGACAATTTTATCACCATAGACATACCTTAGGTAAAGGTTTGGCAGGTTTACAGTGCAATCCTCCAACAAACTCAAAATTAGGTAAGTATGGACGAGGAAATTCAAAATCCCAATATGTCCGGATTAGCCAAATTTCAGCTTTGCCCATAGTCTCACATAATGTAGTGGGTCTTCCTGGATAAAATGAAGATTTGCGTGGAGAAATTTAATACACATATTTGCCATATTTGCTAGGAAAAAACAAAAAATTCATCACTGATTACCTTATAAGCTATTAAGGAAAAGAATGAAGACCTCTAGAATGCTTATAATGATTATATGTTAAAAGGAAGGAAGAAAAGGAAGAAGGGGATAAGGGAGAGAGGAAAGAAGGGAAGAAAGAAGAGAAAACAAAAAAAAAGGACTTGGGGGCAATGAAAAACGATTAATATGTAAGTATAGATTCATAACAGTGAAGGAAACAAAACTTTAACTACAAATATTGAGAGATTTAGTACTTGTTCTTTCTCTTTAATTTAGTGCAGAAGATAAATTAACTCCATCACATAAGCCTCATTCAAGTCACCTCTCAAAAATTTCCCAGTTTCCCAGTTTTTATTCAGGAACAGGACTGTCTTACAGCTTGTATAGTCTCATTCAAACATATTGTTGAAGAACCCATACCTATTTCAATCCAACTTTTTTTCTGAATCAAATCTTATCACTTAAATTGATTTATCATCATGTTTTCAATAAACAGTTCCTGATTAATTCACACTCAATACCCCCCTTATATGTGCAATACAAATATAAATAGTATTAATATCATATACTTATTCTAGTGTTAACTTTAAATGATGTTTTTTGAAAGGGACAGATTCTAAGTATTAACTTTAGGAGTTTTGTGGAAAAGAAGGAGTATTTGTCAATAAAGTCAACCTTTTCTACATACAAGAAAATGTGTTTTGCAACTGAGAAAAGAAAATCTCAAATAAGAATATTTTATTGCTAAGAATTCTAATCATAATTGGTAAGTATATACTCCTGGGATAGAAAGCCTCTTTGAATAGTCATTACTTAGTAGTATTTGAAGATATGTGTGAGTTCATGTAATCATTGTCTTAATTTGATAATGAAGAAAGATTGCCCAATGAAACTCAACTTGAAATTTTCAGAGATTGGATGAAAACTTCTCTCCACATCTTCTACATCAGAATGTTTGTGTCATAGAAGTGCCTTTATTTTGGGCTGAGGATGTAGCTCAGTGGTAGAGCCTAGCTGTACAAGGGCCTGGTTTTGATCCCTACACTTCAAGTAATAGATGCTTTATTTCATATGTGCCACATCCTGCCTTCATTATGAATTCCCTAGGTGAAGTTTAGGTTCATAAGTTCTAGAACAAATTTTTAGGAAGACCAAGCTTCTTCAGTAAAATTGTGTTTTTAAAGCAGTGATCACAATTATATACATAGAGTCAAAGAAAAATGAAAATAAATTTGAACAAATGCATACAAAATTGGCAAATAATTTCATAATAAATTTTAAAAATTATACTGAAGAATTGTGAAATAAAAATACTGAATTAAAATTTACCATCAATTCTTTTATTGTAATTATATTATTTATATAAATAGTTATAAACATTGGACAATTATGTGATATATAATTAATAAATTATAAAATATGAACTGTCAAGTGAATATTGTTATTGATTGCATCTATTATTTTAAAACTAAGTCTAATGAGATGGCTTTTAATTTGAAGAACTCCTGTTAGTAACTTGAATTAATTACTACATGCCTGTCTGTAATTTATGTGGACAAGAGAAAAATTTAGTAGGTGGCATTTACCAATCTCTGAGGTGACATGTTATCTAGACTGACATGTACAGATGATTTCTAGGCTATCTAGGTGTTTCTATTTCCAATGGAATGCGAGAAAATGTATATGCACATTTCTGGGTCACTTTTTTAAAAAAATTAAAAGTGTATTCTCCATTTTACCTTCATTTTCTTTCAGGTCAGTATACAAATAACCTTGTCCAATTATTTGGGCAAAAACAGCATCACAAACTATTGTAAGAACTAAGATAATTAGTTCTTGATTCCTGGATGACTTTGTGAGTAGAACTTATTTTCTTCAGGTAGATAGTTACATGAGGGAGAAATAATTTCTGTGCATTTACGATGTTTTGTTGCATATTTTTACTGCAGCTCACACTGTGGAGTCCATTGTTTCATGGTAGGCAACACATCATAGTAGCACAAACTAGAATATTGACAATGGATGATATGATGCTGTCATATCTTACAAATACTTTGAGAACAGAATTGACAGGATCTCCATTCAGATTATTTATGTACTGTAAAAAAAGAGAGTTGGATGTACAATGATCTTAGTTATGTTTTTACCTGAGTCACTAGAAGAACTGAATTTAATTGAATAAAATGGGGAACCCTAACACCTATGATAAAGAGAAATAAAAAAGCAACGACAACACAAACCTCAAAGGTTTATATCTTTTTTACCACAGATGGATCCCAGGGGCACTTAACCACTGAGCTATATCCCCAGCACTTTTTATTGGAGGTAAACTCTTGCTAAGTTACTTGGAGCCTTGCTAACCTGCTGAGGCTGACATTGATCATTCTTGAACCTATGCCTTCCCATCAATGCCTGTCATGGTACCAAACTTCAAACTTTCTTTGTACTTAACTTTCTTACATCTTCCTTGCTAGATACTGAAAAAAAATAATACCCATTGTTTGAATTAATCATTAAATTGGTATCCACAGTTACTTACAAGGGAATTTATCAATTCCAAAAATTAAATTATCGAACAGAAAAGCTAACTAAGCTGTGTATCCATCCAGTCCTGAGCTTTTGTGATCAAAATTCCAATGGCATTCCCCATAGAAATAGAAAAAGGAATCATAAAATTCACCTGAAAAAATAGGAGACCCAAAATAAGTAAAGTAATCCTTAGCAGGGAGAGTGAAGCAAGTGGCATCACTATACTAGACCTCAAACTATACTACAGAGCAATAGTAACAAAGACAGCATCGTATTGACACCAAAATAGACTGGTAGACCAATGGTACAGAATAGAGGACACAGAGACTAACCCACAAAACTACAATTATCTTATATTAGACAAAGTTGCCAAAAACATGTATTGGAGAAAAGATAGCATCTTCAACAAATGGTGCTGGGAAAGCTGGAAATCCATATGCAAGAAAATGAAATTAAACCCCTATCTCTCACCATGCACAAAACTCAACTCAAAGTGGATCAAGGACCTAGGAATTAAACCAGAGACTCTCTGTTAATAGAAGACAAAGTAGGCCCTAATCTTCATCATGTGGGATTAGTCTCCAACTTCCTTAATAAGATTCCTATAGCACAGGAATTAAAACCAAGAATCAATAAATGGTATGGAATCAAGCTAAAAAGTTTCTTCTCAACAAAAGAAACAATCTGTGAGGTTAACAGGGAGCCTACATCCTGGGAGCAAATTTCTACCACTCACACATCAGATAGAGCACTAATCTCTAGGGTATATAAAGAACTCAAAAAGCTAAGCACCTAAAAAACAAATAACCAATCAACAAATGTGCCAAGGACCTGAGTAGACACTTCTCAAAAGTTGATATACAATCAATCAACAAATATATGAAAAAAATGTTCATAATCTCTAGCAATTTGAGAAATGCAAATCAAAACTAAGGTATCATCTCCCTCTAGTGAGAATGGCAGCTATTATGAAAACAAACAACAATAAGTGTTGGCAAAGATGTGGGGGGAAAAGGTACATTCATACATTTCTGGTGGGATGCAAATTGGTGCAGCCAATATGGAAAGCAATATGGAGATTCTTTGGAATACTGAGAATGGAACCACCATTTGACCCAGCTATCCCTCTCCTTGGTTTATACCCAAAAGCCTTAAAAACAGCATACTACAGAGACACAGCCACATCAATTTTTATAGCAGCACAATTCACAATAGCTAAACTGTGGAGCCAACCTAGATGCACTTCAATGGATGAATGGATAAAAAAATGTGGCATATATATACAATGGAATATTATTCAGCAATAAAAGAGAAGAAAATCATGGCATTTACAGGTAAATGGATGGAGAAGATAATTCTACTTGAAGTTAGCCAATCCCCAAAAAACAAATGCCGAATCTTTTCTCTGATAGAAGGAGGCTGACTCACAGTGGGATAGGGAGGAGAACATGGGAGGAATTGATGAATTCTAGATAGGGCAGAGGGGTGGAAGGGGAAAGGAGGGGATAGGGGATTAGCAAGGATGGTGGAATATGATAGACATCATCATCCAAAGTACATGTATGAAGACACGAATTGGTGTCAACATACTTTATATACAACCAGAGATATGAAAAATTGTGCTGCATATATGTAATAAGAATTGTAATGCATTCATTCCATTGTCATTTATTGGTTTTTAAATCAATTTTAAAAAAAGAAAAAAAAAGAACTAACTAAAGTTTTCAAGGCAAGCATTATATTGATCTTAGGATCATTCTGAACATTGATATGAATCCTGTTTGTTAGTGGCTGCAGTCCAGAGAGTATGTCCACATATAAGTAGGAAGTCCACATAGAAAATTAAGAAATCAGGCAATTTGAAGAGGAAAAAGTAAATCACTTTTCTTCCACTCAATGTTCAAACAAAATAAAGTTTCCCAGTTTTTATGAGTACTTTCTGTCACTGAAGGGTGGTTTTCTTTATATAATAGAATAGTTTAATCCTTACTAAATATGCAGTTAGGCCCATCATTGTCTGTAGAGTGGTGGATATAGAAAATTTAATTGCTTACAGTGGATACTGAAGTGGAAAATATTTATTGTTTAATGGAACCCAAGTAAAATGGAAAACAATGTGTAAAAACATGACACAACAAGGTCGGTGTACAACTTGTGCCCATTACAAAATCTGAGCCTATAACCAGATATATTTAGAAACAAGAATGCCTACTATTTTATTTTAAATTGTTTACTGTTTTGACATTGATATAATCTAGTATCATTCATTACCTATGGACTACAGATTATAAATGAACCTCTTCATAAAGAATATCATGTTTTAACAGTCTTATTAAAAATATAAGATTAGTTAGGAGAAAAAGAGATAACTATTAGTAAGTCAGAAAAAAGTTGAAATTAGG